TGGTCTAGAAACACTCTTTCAAAGTATGATGGATTGATACAGAGTCTCGCTATGGAGAGTCAAAGAGAGGGAAGTCGAGAAAATGAGAATCGCTAAAACGGGCTTTTTTGAATATCGCTAAAATTCACCCCATCTTTGGGGGTCGATATCTCGCGAACGGGGCGTCGGATGGGAAAACCCTTCAAATTAGTTTCTTATAATGATGTAAAGACCCCGTATACCAATTTTCAGCCAAATCGGAGGGGGTCGGGTTCCGAGCCTGGCACAGTTGACGTGGAATGGCCCAAATGCACACCATCTACCCCTCCACCTTGTCATATCGGCTCTGAGTAGAATAGAGTTACAAATCGCGAACGTAAAGCTACTTCCCTCTCTCTTGCTCCTTATGAGCAATAACGTTGTGCGATGACCAGCTTCAATGCTTTGAGACCATTCTTGGCCATTACAAGTCCCATAAGAATGTGTCTCATGAATTAGCCTAACGACACCGCCATAGCCTCTGGCACCAACATTGTCCGAAGGAAGTTTCCAGGGAGGACTGACTGGACTGGCGTTCGAGGGATCATCGCGGTTCATCGCGGACCGGAAACACTTGTCGCTCCGCATAACAGAACCGATGAATGATGGTTGGCCCCAGGCCTATGGATGGCCCAGAGCGGAGTTATTAATACGTGCTCTGGGGGTTTCGCGCCGTCGGACGGAGGAGGGGGGTGGATTTTAAGCTCAATGAGTCCGCGCGCCAAAGACACTGTTGCAACAGCCAGAAAGGGACTCACGGCGTCCCGCTCGGTTTGAGCTTCGCTCGCGGAGAAGCGGCAAAGATGTCGTCGCGTCGGCCTCCGCCGGAAGTGCTGCGACGAGTCGCGCGGAGGAGGTCGCGGCCGGCCGCAGCCGCGGTCCCATCAAAATATCTTGATCTGTGTTTGATTAAAAGATGCGTCGTCGTGCGCTTAGTGGGGGGGGGGGGGGGTTGTTGGATTCGGGATGCGAAATCTCCCCCGCCCCCCTAACTCCACCCGTCGTCATCCTCGATAGAACTCATTGCAGACCTCACTTACGGGCGCTATTACCGCCCCCCTCCTCTCCCCCTCGGCGTCTTCGGAGCCGTGGGCGAAAATAGCGGTCGGTGTCCTGCCGCCGGCTTGGCCGGAAACGGAAGGGGATCCCTGGTGGCGGAAGTAAGGTGCATTTAGTGTGAAAATTTTGGACTCTAGTAATTTTGATGGAGTTGCAGTTCAGGTTAATTTTAACCCGTGCGGGTGTCCGATCTCTCGCTTTTGAATGAACTTCCTCTAAGGTGCAATGATCTTTTTTCAGGGTTGTGCATAGACATATCACCGGAAAAAAAAAAACACATTGGATCTAGAGTTCGGACTCTTGAAAACATTGACAAGAAAAAATACTCTTGATTCGATCGGATTTTTGCTTGGATCAAAACGAAATCCGCTTAGATTAAAAGGCTTGGTTCTTGATTTAAGCTAGATTCTGCTTGAATCAAGAGTACTTTTCCTTGTCGATGTTTTTGAGAGTCTGGACTCTAGATCCAATGTGTTTTTTTTTTTTTCTAGTGGTAGCTTTTTTCCTAGAGAGGCCTGCCCCTCCCCCTACAAAAATGATTCCCAACCCTAACCCCACTCATGGAGGGGATGTTTCTTTAGAGGGGGTCAATTCGTACATCTGGATTAAAAGGCGGGGGTCAATTCTGTCAATAGGATGACAGAAGAGAGGCTGCCAAAAAAGATGCTTGATTGGGTTCCTCCTGGGAGGAGGCGTAGGGGACGCCCAGTGAGAGGTTGGCGACAGGGGGTGTTAAGTGAGATGAGGGAGTGTCAACTCCCTGATAACCTGTGGGAAGACCGAGCTTTGTGGCGATTAGGTGTCGCAAAGCGCCAAAGAGCGCTATAACAGCGACTCGTATGTATGTATGCAATTCGTACATCTGCATTCTGATTAATTTTCGATATTTTGTTCCACTCGAGAGAAGAATCTGAATATCATAACCGGCAATTTCATCGAACAAATTTCGAGTAACCTTCGAGTAACCTT